TGAAAAAAAGACATGAACAGAAGTTTGTCAAAAGAAGATAGACAAATGGCCAATAAACATATGAAAAAATGCTCAATGTCACTAATTATCGGGGAGTTGCAAATTAAAACTGCAATGAGATATCATCTTACCCCTGTTAGAACCGCTTTTATTAAAAAGCCCAAAAGCAATACCTGCTCGCATGGATGCAGAGAGAAAGGAATGCTTATACACCCTTGGTGGGACTGCAAACTAGTACAACCTCTATGGAAAACAGTATGGAGATTCCTCAAAGAACTAAAAGCAGACCTACCATTTGATCCAGTAATCCCACTACTCAGTATTTACCCGAAGGAAAAGAAGTCATTTTATCAAAAAGACACCTGCACTTGAATGTTCATTGCAGCACAATTTACAAGTGCAAAGATGTGGAATCAACCCAAGTACTCATCGATTCATAAGTGGATTAACAAAATGTGGTATGTGAATACTATGGAATACTATGATGAATACAGCGATGAAGAAGGATGAATTCAGGCCTTCTGCAACAATTTGGATGGGACCGGAGACCATTATCCTAAGTGAAGTATCTAAAGAATGGAAAAACAAACACCACATGTACTCTATTATATTGGAACTACCTATGAGCACACATGTGCACAGAGAGAAGTAAAACTCAGTGGAAATTAAGCAGGGAGGAAGGCGGGTGGAGGGGATGGGAGAAACCTACTTAACAGGTACAACGAACACTATCTGGGTGATGGACACACTTATAGCCCTGACTCAAGAATTACAAAAGTGATCCACGTAACCAAAAGCATCTGTACCCCTGTAATATTTTGAAATTTAAAAAAAACATAAAAAATAGACTAAAATTGAATCTAACCATGAGAAAATATCAGACAAACCCAAATTAAGTACACTCTACAAAATAAGTAAACAACATTCACAAAAATGATGAGGTCCTAAAAGAAAAGGAAAGACTGAAGAAAAAAATTGAAGCAGACTAAGAAAACAAAATATTTAAATGCAATGAGGATTCTGGATTGCATTCTGAAACATTACAAGACTACTGGTGTAAAAACTAGTGAAATTCAAATAAATCCTACACTTGACTTAGTCAATAGTATTGTACCAAGATTAACTTTAAAGTATACCATAGCTATGTAAAATGTTAACCTAAGGGGAGACTAGATGAAGAGCACATGGCAACTCTCTGTAGTATGAAATTATTTCAAAATTTTAAAAAGCTGAAAAACCAAATTGTTCAATTTCCCATTTCTTTACTGAAATTGTTATCATAAACATGTAAAAATGTCATCTACAGTAAAACATTAAAAGTATACAGTTCGGAGAATAAAAAGTAAAAACCAAATGGTTAAGAATACGATATGCAAAGTGACTTTTACATAACATCTATAATATGAGATCACTTACTTGATAAATTTTAAAAGTTGGTCAGTTATCTTTTTAGCTGATCTTGCAATTACACTCTCAGGTTCATTAAATGTTCTGGCATTATGTTCTATATATCTGACTTCCCAAATTAATGCAGACAGCCTCCTTTCAAAATAAAGTAAGCAATTTAGGGCTTAGAAAATGAAAAGACAGGGAAAAAAAAAAAAAAAACCCCACCTCGGCATATGAATTTAAACCAGCATGATGTTAATTACACCATAACTGCAAAGTTATAATGAATAACCTTCTAATGCTGTCAACTTGATCACAGTCATAAGCAACTATATTGGATGCTGAAGTGCAGAAAATAACTTAAAAACCAAAATTTTAACAAATTATTAAATCACATACAGAAAACCAACAAAGCAACCATCCCTTTCAAACTGCCTTTGAAGCTGCTGAAACTCAATGAAGAAAATATGTTAAATATAATATCATCAACCTAAGAGAGTCAATTTCACTGTCAACTGGCAAAGTGGTTTCTGATTTGAATGCACATTCCAGTGTTTCGTTA